TTCTCACATTTTATCCGTTTGTGACTTATCTCTATGCTAGAGTGTGTGACTTATCTCTATGCTAGAGTTTTTTAAATTAATAACATAGGAAGAGTAATATTAATTTTTGATAATAGTATTTTAATAGCAGTGATTTTTCTGATAGTAATATTTTAATTGGAAAAACAATAGCAATTCGATAACAGTTATAGTAACCGGATGACGGATGGCATTAAGGCTGGATTAGTATTATTTTAAAGAATATTTTTTATAATAATAATAACAATAAATATTACACAATATAACAAATAACATAATAATAATACATAATATATTAGATGTCCAGTAAATGTACATCGAAATGTCCAGTCTTATCATCAAATCAGTATCCAGGAGCAGTCCGAGGCGGTGGGCAATGGTCACATGAACCTTCCGCACCTTGCTCACCCACCATACCCTGCTCTCCGTCAGGTCCGTCGCGTCCGGGCGGACCGTCTCGTCCCGGTTCGCCTGGCGGTCCCGCTGGCCCCACTGGGCCTGCTCGTCCATCCACTCCAGGCGCACCGTTTGGTCCGGGTGGTCCGGGTGGACCTTGTGGACCAGGTGGCCCTTCAAGGCCTGGCACCTCGGTGACGATACCAGATGGCCCTCGCGGTCCTGGCGGTCCTTGTAGACCGGCTGGACCGGCCTCTCCGGGTGCGCCCATTTCTCCAGATAGTCCTTTGCGTCCGTCCAAGCCTTGTGGTCCTTGTAGGCCCGGCAGACCTGGCGGTCCTTTCGGACCGGGTCGTCCAGATGATCCGGCCGGTGCCTCTGGGCAGTCGAAACAGAAATCGGCCACACTTGGCGACTGGTTCAGTGGAGCATCTGCGCCTGGTCGCCCGTTAGCTCCCGGCTCACCATCTTTGCCTAAATTCACATCACAGCATGAAAATAATCATGGCAATATTAATATAATATAATAACATCATAAATACCATAACAAATGATAAATTACACAGTACAAAATTCCAGTCATATTTGCGCTGCAATACTTCCAAATCATGAACCTAAATTGATCAATCTCATTGGAATTCCTCACTTGTTGATCAACCGCATGTCCTCAATCAATCAATCAATCCACCAATAGATCAATCCACAAACCATCAGCTCCATCTGGTCCTGTTGGTCCAGGTGGTCCAATTGGCCCCATTGAGCAACTGCAACAGGTGGACACCACGTGAACATCGCCATACCCCACAGCGATTCCAAGCCCAGCGTCAGTTCCAACCCCTTCATAACCCTCTTCAGCCGTACTACTCTCGACAGCTGCCATCGACTCTCGATTTTCTGTTTGTGGCTCATAACCACTGCTCTGACCGGTTCCACCGGTCTCCTCATCATTCGTTTGACCCAAATCCATCCCATAACCGTATTCCTCATCGACGATCGTGTACGAGTCCACTCCTCGAGCTCGTGTAGCACGATCTGGTCGAAATATGCCCATTTTCGTTGAAGGTTTACGTCGTAACGCTGTGCTACGCTTGAGGCGACTTCGAACACCTCTCACGAATTGCAACTGCAACGTACACACAAATTGCAGTTATGAATATCAAGATCAAGATCGATATCAGTGATCAGATACCGTCAATAATCAACCAATAATCAATCGTTCAATCAATTAATCACTTTATCAACTGATCTCAAATCTGAAGCCTAAACAACTAAAATTAACAAACTGCGTTTAGATAGTTCAACTAGTTGTAAGCAATGCCAAGATTAACTTTCCGAAGTTAATCTTCCATTTGAACATTCAAATCAAGTCAGTGATCAGTTTGATAACAGATCAAGCCTTATCACTCCATAATTTATCACTCAGATCAGCTATCAGTTCAGTGATAGCTGATCTGAAATTTTGTATCTACCTTTTCGAATTCATCGAAGAGCGCATTTGTTCGCACCGTACAAAAATCAGCCTCCAGCTCCAGTGCCGACTGGATCTGATGCATATATGAACACAACATCGGTATCGCAACAACTGCAGTGATCGTGGCCACTGTGGATACAGCAATGCCCAGAACTGCGGCTCGTTTCATTTGATCTGCTTCACGTTCAAGTGATCGTTCTTGATCTCTTGTTGTTGATCGCATGTTGATCTTCTCATCAAATCCCATCTAATCTGCTCTGAGTTGATCTGCGCTAACCTGAAATTGAAAAAATCTGAAATCTGACGACATAAAAATGGCTAAAAAATTCCCCAAACTACTCAAATTAGTGGATCTGATTGCGAATCAGAGGATCATTATAAATTATACGGATAAATTGGAAATGTTATGCTAAAAGTGATCGCTCAACCGAATACTATCAAAATATTTCAGTACTACTAAACAATTTTCCAACGAACTGACCAATCTGATGAATCCGGAAGTGTACATGACATCCGGATACCCACAACCTTTATATAGACCACGGATACCACTTGAAAACTAGACCGATTCCCTTGCAAGATTGTCCGGCCTCCCTAACCTCACCTACCGATCACCTTCTCAACGGTATATGCTACCCTTTGAATATAACAATCCACAACGATCACATTTCTAAGAAAAAAAGGTTCTCAAAATCGTATTCTCGAACATTGAAACAACAAAACATCATTCTTGCAAACCAATCGCATGAGTACTCTTGCAAACTCTTTTCGCATAATGTTTCCATTATTTATGGCATCGCATTTTTCTCAAATTTTTACCCCCATCACCAAACAACATCCTCATATGAACGTCTTTGATGAGCATTTAGATGAATGACCTATAAAATACTTTCCCATTCAAAATCAGTTCCTCTTTTCAAAACAGCAACCGCAGCAAAACAACGATTGCACTTCACCCGTCCTACTTTTATTCTTTTTTTTATTTTTGAAAACCCACATATCCTTTATGATCTGTGTTTCTTGAGACCGACGGTTCAACTGCAACTCCAGACGTTTGGTGTTCGTTTCAAAGGAATCAAATCGAATATCCGTCCGCCCGATCCTTCCTTCCATCTGATTTGATATAATAATAATGATAATATTAATATTAATATTAATAATAAAATTTAATGAGATGTCCTTTTTTGTTCAAAAAATCAAATTAGATCATAAATTCGGTCATAAATTCTATGTGTATGTATGTGTGTGTTTGTGTGTGAGTGTGTGTGTGAAACATCATAAAACGACCATATAAATTCCCATTAAACATTCAACATTACCGAAGAAGTTGGAAATTTGCACTGGAATGCCCTGGAACATGTATATAAATGTTGGAAAATGAATTTGATTCGAGTTTATTTAGGACTTTAAAGAATTTAAATCTCAAAATGAACTGAAGTGCATCTTTAATCGCTAGGATTATGCTTGATATTTCAAGTTTATGTCTTCAAATTTGTCACAAATGATTCCACTGATATTTTTTTAAAACCAATTCTTCGGGATCTAACCTAGACTGAGCCGGTTCCATCTTTCCACATTTGTAGTTAATTACTCCATTGATGTACTAGTTACTTATTAGTTACTCGACATCGATCGCTTTTCATCAGCTGCTCCCGCATATTCTTGCATCGAATTCTATCGGTCACCATAGAAACTAACTGCTGTCTTCAGCACATATTCACGCCGCATAACTAAACATCACTAACATAACTAACAAAATTGTAATCTCAACATTCTAATCTCTTCACACAAATCAAATATTTCGTTGATGTTTAGTGTGTTTCCAAGCGAACAGATAAATACGACGAGCACTAGCACTAAGGGATGATTCCGTGTGCATTTCAACGCTTAGGCTTGGCCGTATCCATGCTACTCGGTAGCTCATGCATGCATGCTTAACATGACAATCAAACTTTACGGCCTTGACTCTGGACTCTCGACTCTCTGCTCTTCGGCTAGCCTCTAGCCTTTAGTCCCTAGACTTGCTATGTTTCCCTCGATTTCTTCACCCATCCATTAATATCTCTCCATCATCCATTATTATCTCATTCTTTTTGCCTCTAAGCTGACTGGCTACCTCTAGACTTTAGACCCTAGGCTCTAGATTCTACTCTAGGATTTCAGCCTTGTGCATATCGCTTTAATGCTGTCTCACGATCACTATTATTCCTGTCTCAAAGCTCTGAACAGCTTTCATCGCTTATCGTCAAAAACCAGAATGCGTCGTTTCATCAATAAGGTAGGCACCAACAACATAGAATTTGATATTTTTTAACCAGTCACAAATGCAATCTTATTTGTGTGCACAATCGAGAGTTCTATTTGTATTTCTTTGTTATGATTTGTTAAACATTTTGTAATTTAATCGATTATTTTTTGTCAGATTTTCATTCACTAAAACTAAAATATTTCAGCAACACCCTCATAATCACAGTCAGAATCTAAATCCCGTTCTAATCGCATCTTCAAGTGCTCCTTCATTTGCTGGATTGACAGCTCAAGAATGCGGCGGCGGCAGCGAGTCCCAGGAGACAACGTCAGCTCTTAAAATCACAGAGAAAATGACCAGAGCTGAGAGAATTCTGTGTGGTTTTAAATTGTAAGTTTCGAATGTTCTTAATCAAGGAAGTATCATACTTCATACCTAAACACTTCACTTGAACTTTTCTCATTCTATTTCAAAACCTCATAAAACTAGTGACTGTCAAAATATTTGTTATAGGATTATAATTTCGGATCATAACTATTGGATTAAGAATTTTATGACGACTTGAACAGTTTAAGTTACAATTAGGCCTAGAGCCTAGAGTCTAGAGGAGCCGAGAGAAATAATCTCTAGAATATTTTGCTGAAGGACCCGAAGATATCAGTGAGTAAAATTTCAGGAACTGGATGAATCTGCGAGACGCAGACAGTGGTAAAGTACTCTGGCAAAGCACTGAGGACCTGGCTGAGCCTAGTAAAGAACATGAAGGTATACAGACTCAACAGGGTCACAGAAACAATCTTTTATTTAATCTTCCTTAATTCAATGTTCAGGTGTTTCAATGTTGAGGTTTCATATCTATCCAATGATTTTATCCTCTTTCAGTACATTTCCATTTGATAAATTCATTCGATTCACCAAAAAATAATCGCAAACATCTCAGCACGTGTACCGAAAACCATTCTAAAATGTCGAACGGTTTCAAGAGAGCTAAACTTCACCTCAGCAGAGAAGATCGAGAAGTTCCGACTGGAACAACGTGTCCTATTGAAAGACAATATTATTGAAGGTTACGATCTGTATTGATTTTTTTTTAAATTCAAAACTCCAAAGGTTCAAAACTTCAACAGTTCAAATTTCAGAATGGTATTTCGACTTCGGATTTGTCATACCTCAATCCACGAACACATGGCAAAATCTGATTGAAGCAGCTCCTGAATCGCAAATGTTACCTGCATCACTGCTCAGGTAAGGTATCACTCTATCTAACTGATTGATTAATCTCGTGCTATCAGATCCCAGCCGGCCGATCGCATTTGACTTTTAGTGGTAATGTGGTCATTGAGACAAATTTCTACGACGACGACCTGCTGGTGAGCACCTCTCGGGTACGAGTCTACTATATTTAAGCAGCAACGCTCGAGAATGATCATGGTACAAGGCCCGGACTTTCTGACCCTTTAGGAAGATTTATGGCCCGGAGAGACTTATGACGAGAGCAAACATGAATTCCAGCATGGTAGAAGACACAAGATTCGTTGGCTCGAGTGAAAACTTGATCTGTTTGTTCAGTGTTACGGCAATATTATTCATATGAGAATTTTGCAGATCACAGATTTTCTTCAAAAAAATTAAGTTAAGTGAATTTACTTTGATTGTATCTTTGATCACAACGTTTCGTCGCAACGAAAAAATTTCATAATTTCAGGTTTCATAACGATGTTTGAATACTATTTGTTTATAAATGTGTGAAATGAATCAAATGAATAAATGATAACCCGAAAAGATACCCAAAAACACCTAAGAATGCTTTACATTTCATGTTTTATTTCACAAAGAGTTCTGCAATTCAATCTACGAATAAGTTACCCGCATTTCCCACTCACTTCCCCTGTCTCCTTCCCGAATGCTGGGTTCCTCACTTAATCACTTAATTCCCGACTCAAGCTTCCCGGAACTAACCCACCCGAAAACTCGAAATCTTAATCCCACAAAGACGGACCAAACACCATGTTCACTAAGCAAAACTATGCATGATCACATCAGAATGCTTATTTTGTGCAGACTATACTTCACAACACATGAAAATCTGACCGCAAGACAGTTTAAGACGTATGAAAACACAGAGAAATGAGTCTGCATCAAAGAATTGATCATTAACAATAATTACAATCGATTAATTAATTCGATTATAGCGAACAAAATGCCGTGCAACGGGTGTTCTTTCATTTCATGTCATTTCCTTTCAATAATACTCATCATAATCAAAATATCAATGATGATAGTGTTCAGTGTTGTTCTACCCAATAACGTCTAGTCAATTGAATGTAGAAACCCGTTTTCAAGTCAAACAGCATGTTCTCATGATTGTCATATTATTATTATTACTACTATTATTCTACTAAATTCATTTTGCTACTCATTCTCCAACATTGAAACCATCAAATTGGCCATAAAACTCGCAATTTATTCGCGTAATCAAGACGATATGAGGAGATAAACTAACTGCTTGCCATTGATTTAACATCTTAAGAAAGTATTATTTAGTGCTTAATTAGGTCTTTAAAAGTTCTCGATGCTTTATTTGATTTGTTGTTTGGTCTTTTGATTGAATGTGAATGTGTTCGCAGAAATAAAACTGATCCGATCAGAATTATTCGATTTTAAGTAATCAATGGTGTCTCATTATAGAAAATTTAGTAAGTGAACCTCTATTTTATCCAGCAACTTTATCTCATCCTACATGAGGGCCAATGATCAGTTTTGCTCTGTAGTAGTGACCTATGACTTCATTTACACTAAAGTTGTCGTGCGAAATCATCATAGAATCATTTGAAATGCGTGAACCTCACAAGGTAGCTGAAGCCACGTTAACGTTAACAACCTGATCTAAGAATCTATTGATCTATCTGATGTATCTGTGATCTGATCTGATCCAAGAAATCAAACGCGATTTGCTACTCGATATAAATTTGTTAGATTTTGTATCGCTGCTGCCACAACAGCTATAGCTTCATCTAAACTGATTCAATCAACCGTATGGTAACGTGAAACGCCGCCTATGAACGACAAGCGTTGAAACAACAGATGTCTTCACTGACCAAATGGAGAAACCTTCTTGATCCCAGAAACAATGAGGTGAGTTCTAGGGCCCAAGCTAACTTCACAGTCAATTCAATCACTTTTTAGAATGAAAGGTAAACACTCTCAATTTCTAATAAATTTCAGCGTATTTACCATAAAATTCTCTTGAAAACAAGAACAACAATCTTTCCAATACATAAACTATGCCCTAAAGATGGATATCAAGCGAAGAATTTGTTACATCTTTCGATACTACTCACAAACAAATTGATTCACCCGAGAATTCAAGTGCAGTCGTGCTTTGATCTTGATTGATTGCAGCTGCTCACAAGTGCCTCATTCCAGATCATACGCGTTGTTGTACCGCAGTTTCTGGTCGTTCTACTGCTCTTCAGTTATGTGCTATTCGGTTCGGGCATGTTTGTGCTGCTGGATGGGAACCTGGCCAAAGAGAATTTCACAGATATTATTCTATTTTCGTTCACAACACTCGCTACTATTGGTAACTCCTCATCTATTTTACCCAAACTCTACCCAAACCTACCTAAACTGCAATGTTATTCACCTAAACTTCACGCCACTCATATCAGGCATCTTTCAGCTACCCATCCATAAACTCCGGCAACTTTATAGCACTCGTGCTTACCCATTGATTTGCCCAAAATCGCTCGCTTTCACAATATCAAATAGCAATCGAAACAACTGCCTGACTCTAAAGCAATCCGTTAAACCCTCATGAATCTACCAGATTCACAGTGCACAATCATGATTAGTATAATAATAACAGCCAAATTACAACAATAAGCAGTAACATGACGATAACAGTAACGAAACTGTAATAAAATACAGATCATAGTGATATGTAGCCGTAGACGATCCCAACTTCGGTATTGATTGAACCAGTTGATATACGATCGGTCAGTAAAATTGTAAATTAGCCACTCGCACCGACCGACCACAACCAATGAACACGAAAAATATGCAATGAAGAAACACATCACTATTTAAGTATTTCAATTGTGCAGTAATACATTGAAACGTTTTGATCTGTCTAATTTCAATTTGATCTACCAACACTTTTCCAATTGCAATTCACTGATTGATCTATTGATTTTTCAATTCGATCTACCCATCCAATGAAATGTTTTGATCTCTACCGATCAAATTGTAGATGTCTAATATCAATCAGTATCTATCAATATCAACTGATCAAATGCTCTAGTATCTTTGAATTTTCAAGGATATGGTAATATTTCACCATCTACACCACTTGCACAATTGTTCTGCATTGTGTTCTCGGTATTCGGCATTCCGATGACTTTGCTTACATTGGCAAATCTGGGTAAATATCTTACCAAAAGCTACTGGATGGCATTGGTTTGCCTAGGACGAGTAGGTCTTCTCTATAGTTCGTTGTCCGATTTGTTTCTTTTCATGAGTAGCTCCGGCTCCGACTGGAGCTCCAAATGAAGCTCGAGATTGCAGGAGATCCGATGGCGTGCATGCGAGAACGCCAAAATGCCTCTACCAACCATTTTAACACTGTTTGTGATCACTTTTGCGTTCGGATCACTGCTGTTCTATCATAAGGGGAAAGGATTCTCCGTGGACGATGTCTATTTCAGGTTATTTTTCGCTTTTCAGATTAATTTTTTTGCAAAAATCTGAAATTCCATCGGACAGCTGCGCCTGACTAGAGCGATAATTTTTCAGTGTGATCAGTTTTGCCACCGTTGGATTCGGTGATAAATTCCCGACAGCCGATGACCCTGTGCTATTGGTCGGAATGATCTGCTATCTGGTTTGGGGTATGATCTTGATGACCACAATGTTCTCAGTTGTGAGTGCCTACCTGAGAATGGTTCGTCGTGATTTTCCAGCAAAAAAATCCGAATTTTTCCAAAAAGATCCCAACGTTTTGCAAAAATTCTCACTGAACTCGCAGAAACTCTGCGATTTTTTACGATTTTCATAAATACAGCTGAAAATGTGGAAATTTTCGTACAACTCTTCAGATTCACTATCTTGGACGTCAATTGCGAGGTGCTCGTGATGTACATGTTTGGTTCGGAGGTAAAAGTATGAAGGTTTCGGCACTGCTCGAGATCGTTGCCGCAGAATTCAATGTTAGTTAATTTCAGGTTTCATGCGCATTTTGGATCATTCGAATACAGTTCCAGCCAATACAGTACCAAGTACAGTTCCGCTTCATGACTGAATACAGTTCTTTTGCATGACTCTATCCTATTCTATCCCCCCAAATTACCATTCTGAGGGTTTCCGTGAAATTTCTCAAAATTCAAATTTTCTAGGCAACCCCACGTCAGCTCAAAGGAGTGCTGCGCGATTTGGACACAATTATAACGGATGCAGTTGGCGAGAATCAGTTACTCTCGAGAAGACCCTCGATTCTGTTCAAAAATCGACGTTCCTCCAAAAAGCCATTCGCCTACTCACTTCAGGTAAACTCTGAATCCACGTCGAATTGGATTTCGATTGATTCGAATCGACATCCTCCGTCGTCTTATAAAATGATAATCTGGACACGATCTGTCCCTTAATCCATCTTAACCCTCCGTGATCCAGTTTTTATTTTCAGGAAGGTTTTCCGGCAAAAGGACGAAAACAACGCTATAATTTTTTAGAAACACAAGACAACAGGTCTGTCTCTTACTATTTTACTGATCATTTCATTCTTCTTCAAATAAATCCTATAAAACCATCCAAATTCTCTTATCAAACCTTTAAAATCCGCTAAAACCATCGCATTTCGTCAATTTCCCTAAACATTCTATCTCGGCCAAATCTTAAACATTTCAGGGAGCATCCAGCACCACCAATAATCGAAGAAGAGACCATTTTGATCAACAAAAATTTCTTGAAAGAACGACAATCAATCGATCGCAGACAATCCGTTGATCTCGGCGAATTGAGTCGACGAACCATCACAAAGTACGAATTCTGATCGATCCGACCATATCGTTCCAATCCTATTGACCGATCTTATCGATCCTATCGCAAATCCAATTCGATCCCGTTATATCAGTTGAAATCAAGTCACAACACACGATTTGATGTCTATATTATACGTATGAATGGAACGTAATGTGTACATAATCTGTAAATATAAAGCAATTTTTGAACTAAACCTAAGTCTTAAATTCTCTCACAAATGCCTGACTTTCCTCCAGTATACAACTCTAAACAAGTCTCTGATTCCTGCAAAACGCCTTAAGCCTTAAAACTGTCCAAATTGCAACCATTTCAGGTTCGATTAATCCTTAAAATTCATTACCCAATACATAAAACATCTCAAATTCAAACATTACACGAACCTGACCACATGCAAAACACAACAAAACAACTTATATCACATCAAAAAATAACAAATTGCTCTATTAAACAAAATTATTTATCAATCTAACAATCAAATTCATTTCAAAGTATCATAGAATATCACAGATACCCAAGGCTTTCGCTTGCCCTCTCGACGCCACACCATCATCCAATCCTAACCCATCGTCCAGCAACGTCCAACCGAATTAATCCATACCCTACCCACCCAATTTCTACTTCCGTTTACCCTTTTTCTCCGCAGGTAAATTGTTCCCCGCGGGTAAATGATCCGCTTTCAGCGTTGCATGACCAGAACTCTTCAGATGCGCGAATAATTTCGTCCTTGACTCAAAAACCTCTCCACAACTATCACACATCGCAGCTCTTGGCCCCGCTGCAGCTTCCCTATCCTTAGCCTGACCCTTATTCCCGACCACTACGCCATCTCGTCGTTTCAATTTTTTCACTCCATCTGAAATTTTCACCCCATTATGATTCTAGAACCACGGTATTTCCAACAAAACTGAACTAAAACCATCCAAAATTTAACCTTTCTCAGACTTTTTCACCGATAAATTTGCCGTTTTCACGAAAATGTTCGTTTCTTCGGTCGTTTCCTCCATACCATTTGAATTTCCCGCTACCACCGAACCAGATGCCTCAAAATTCGCCTCGTCCTGGCCATCTTGCAGCCCAATATCAACGCCATTTTCCAAATCACCATCCGAATTTCGTGTTCCCTCGCCATCCAGATGATCGCCTTCATCCAAATCCGCCACATCTAAGCCACCCACCTTCTTCCTATCTCGACGTTTCTGCCGTTTGCTCTTCTTTGAGCCGGACCACGCTGCAACGCTTCCACGAGTTTTCACGCCATCCTGTGGCGATATGCGCTCATCATCACTACATTCACCATCTTCGTATCGTGGTTCCGCCTCAAGTAATAGCAAATCCTCATCCTGCATATGCTTCTTCAATTCGCTGACTGCGTCACGATGCTTTTTCGACCGCTCGTGATTGGCCATCGCTTTCCTTAAATTCAAAACACACCTAAAGTCTAACATTTAAACACTGCGGACCAGTACGACCGCATAATTCCTCCCAAAACTTCAATTTGACAGCGCTCGGCACGTCAGAATACCACTAATTTCTCACAAATTAATACCAATAATATCCGCCAGCTCCATACCACTTCATATCACCAAGCTGCAAGTAAAATTTGCTGACTTACTCAGTCTTAAAGGCTTTCTCACAAACGATACAATACAATTGTTGTGGAACAGCACCAGCAGCTCTTGCTGCCCCATCTTGCTCTTCACCGTCCGCAAACACCCCATCTGAATCCGCTTCGCTCGAGTCTACACCAAATTCCGAATCCAATGCCTCCTCGATTTCGCGTAGATTCGCCAAATGCTTTTGGCGAACCTCCTCTGACTCCTTGTATTCACCCATTTGCCTGCGAACCAGTACGAGTGATCAGATGCGCTTTTTCACAACACACGTAAACACATTACCAATATTATTATTTTAATTACCAATATAGTACACATTACCAATATATTACTACATTCAGATATACACCAGAAAAGTTATCAAAACACTGTAATCAAGCTTCTGCTCACGCTAGCACCTCAAAAATCTCAAATAAAAGTCTCTCCCAAACAAATTCAATGAATACCTAAGACTTTCGCGAATCATATTCACCCGATTCTCTTCGTTTTTTCGTTGTTGTTCCAATTTTTTGGCCTCCAAAACCTTTCGATATTCCAGCAGTCGTTTATCACGCTTCCGCACATAAGCCACCAAATGCTGAAGTGAAAAATTACAGGAAAAATTTTCAAAACTTCCCAAAAAAACCCAAATAATACACCCTATAACTTACTCTGACTTCTTCATTTCTCTCTTTTTTACCCGCATCTCTTAACTTCTTGTTTTCTTTCTCCATGGCCCTCACAACGAAACGATTCGGCGCCGACCGGATATCATACTTGTCTAACCAGGCAAACGACCTGGCTGTCGAGTAGCTCTGCCAAAATCCGTAGAATGGTCCAACCACCTAAAAATCAAGTTTAACGAAAGTTTTAAGCGACAGAACGGTTAAATTAACGAAACTCACTAAAATTAACGATTCAATTCAACGATGACAAATGAAACTTGCACGAGTATCTGTCAAAAATCAAATCATCAATCTCAAAATCGCAGAATTAATCGCAGAATTTTAACGACAAATCGTTAAAATTCTGCGATTAACTAACCTCCTCATATGAGCTCTTTGAGTCGCCAAACGATGGATATCTCATCTCCATGTCATCACTCAAAAACTCGTAATCCTCCGCAGCCAGTGTCTCGAAAACATGTCGGTAGACTGCGTAAAATCCCTGAAGTAATTATTTTGTCACCGTGCAATAAAATCATCATGTCATTACGACCATTCAATTCGTTTAAAATACAAAATTTAAACAAAATCCTGACAGTAATTCTGAATAACATTACCTTACCATCGTCACCGAATCCCGTATAACAACTGGAAGAGAAGTATGAAAATAAATTCAAACTGTTGTCTTGATAGTGTTCGTCGAATCCTGCAAATGAATTAATCTGAACATTTCGATTAAAATGTCCATCATTAAAACATAAATTTCGATTGATCAAGTGAAAAAATGAATCGGAATATTTTTACATCTGATGAAGACTTTCAAGATGTGATCTGAATCTTGATTTGAGAGTAAGATTACAAATCTCATCTTAAGATTAAGATCAAGATTAGGATCTAACCTCCTCGCAGAATCTGATCTCGATGCCTGTCGTACCATGCTCTTTCTTGAGGATCACTCAAAACGTCGTATGCTTGCTGAATCAACGGGAAATACCTGAAAATTCACAAATTTTGGATTGCAAAAAGCTGTCCGCATAAAAATTTAACACAAAATCGAATATGTAAACGATGAATTTGAAACAATAAACAAAAAACAAAGCCTGAATAAACCACCCACTGATTGCATTCATCGATCCGGTCCGGATTCTTATCCGGATGCCATTTCAAAGCCAATTTACGATAGGCGCGTTTAATTTGCTCATCATCAGCTGTACGTTCCACCTCAAGCACTTCGTAATGACAACGCATCTTTTTGCCATCAAATTGATTCCTCCCAAATCCACAAATTTATGACAAAATTTACGACTTCTATTCAACCTGACAAATTGAATTATGACAAATCAACTACAAAATCTGACAAATTAACTACCACAATTAAATTTTAGGACAATTTAATGACAAAATCTGACAAATTAACTACTATATCGAACAAAATTTTGTGAGAATTGCAACGAGATAGACGACTGACTCTATGCAAAGCCTAAACTTGGACCACGAAAATGATATGGTAAGCGAACTGAAAACTTTTTCATTAATAGAAGCTTTCATCAATGCCTCATTTTCCTATTTTGTTGACTTGATCTGTCCACGATGCGAACTAGATACAAACAAAATTGCAAACCAAGTACGAAATCTCTGAAAAAGTTCGTCAAACAAACTTTTCGTCGCAAGACAAAAATTCCGCAGCTTTCAGCGCGATTGCAATAGCACGATGGCCTCGTTTGGGTGAAGCCAATGGCAGGCGGGTCCGCAGTCACCCGCTGCCACGTTGAAAACCAGAAGTTCTCTGCTTCTCTGGCGTCTCTTCACTGGATATCAGTTCTGCGCGGGTTGCCTTGTCCAGTTGCACTCAATGAGCGGCGGGTTCGTAGCCACCC